TATACAATTTAGAAGTGGATAAAAAACCAATTGCAGAAATGCAACAATCTGTAAGAATAATCACAAAATGGGGCCCAGCAAGCTCTCTCAAGATCAATACAGAAGTTGCCAGAGACTGGTAAAATCAAAGCAGAAAGATGAGACGACTTCAGGCTTATCCTCAGGACATTTTTATACCACCTGGTTCTCTCTACAGGGAAACCTTGACACAGAGATAAAGGGAACACATCTCTGCAAAGGATTAAAGATAAGTCAGTGCACAAATCATGTCTTAGAGTTTTAACTTGTTCATGACAGTTTAGGGACATAAACAAAAAATACTTTGGATCAATTTTAAAACTTTTGAGTTGGAAGTCAGCTGTGCATTCTGACAGCATCTTTCAACCAAATTGGAATAACTCAAGGTTCTCAGTCAACCCAAATCTCACAACACCTGAGTCATTCCATAAAGATTCATCTTGTATTGATTTTGTAAGCAGAGAAACCAGAGCTGTGAAATAAGAGGAGATTTCATGCTCATTATTTTATTAACTCTGTGGCTATGTGGCTGTGTAGCTGTGTTGAGCTTCTCTCACCAACAAAGCCCATAAGATTCATAGGAAAGAGTTCTTCTCAGTCAGGGTTCTCTAGAGAAACAATTGAGGAAGAGCTGCAGTTCAAATTTGAAAGCGGTCAGTTAGCAGAATTCTCTCTTCTCCAAAGGAAGTCAAATCTGTGTGTGTGTGTGTGTGTGTGTGTGTGTGTGTGTGTATGTGTGTGTGTGCGCACATGTGCATGTGTGCATGCACTGTGTACTTAACACAGGGCTTTGCCTATGATAGGAAAATGCCCTACCACTGACCTACACCCCAGACATAAATCTTTTTCTCTTAAGGCCTCTATTGAATGAAGTTCAAGTGCATTTTGGAGGGTAATCTGCATTATTCCAAGTCTACTGATTTAAATGTTAATATCATCTTAGAAAATAAAACCTTCACAGAAACATCTAGAATGATATTTGACCAAATATCTGGGTAGTGGGATCTAGCTAAGTTAAGACATAAAATTAACCACCACATTTCTTATTTATGGAGCTGAAATGTAGTTCAATGGAAGAGTGCTTGACTAGCACATTTGAGGCACTGGGTTCAATCCTCAAACCTATATAAAAATAAATGTATGTAAAATTGTGGATGTATAACCAACGTGATTCTGCAATCTGCATTTGGGGTAAAATTGGGAGTTCATAACCCACTTCAATCTAATGTATGAAATATGATATGTCAAGAGCTTTGTAATGTTGTGAACAACCAATAAAAAAAAATAAAAAATTAAAAAAAAAAAAACAAGTACAAGACCAAAAAAAAAAAATGAATGAAAAAAATTTAAAAATCCCGATATATCAGGGTTGAAGGTCTAACTCAGTGGCATAGCACTTTTCTAGCAGGCACAAGGTCCTGGGTTTGATCCTGAGCACTGCAAAAAAAAAATTTTTAAATAAAACCTCTTCTTATGCTTCCTCTATTAGAGCTCAGCACACAGAAATTACTCGGTAGATATCTGTGGGTTGATCTATGGGATTATTCTCCCCAAAGCAGATGTGAATTCCCATTCTAGCTCTGTCTTTCTTAAATTGACTGACAAAGAGCAAATCAGTTGCTTAATATCCCAGGGCCCCAGATATCACTCTTTCAGTAAATGTAACCTCCATAGACCCTATCATCTTCCCCCAGGAAGTATTCCAAAGTTACCATAAATAGCTGAGCTAGGCAGTGTGTTAGTTTGTTTTGTGTTGCTGTAACAAAATACTTGAGGCTGGGTAATTTGTAAAGAGTAGCCATTTATTTGGCTCATGGTTTTGGAGGCTGGGAAATCCAAGAGCATAGTGCTGGTGTTTGCTTGGCATCTGTGATGGCCTTTGTACTGCATCGTAAAGTAGTGGAGGGCATCACATGGCAAGACAGAGCAAGTGTGTGTCAGCTCAGGTCTCTCTTCCTCTTCACTAGACCCAAATCCCTCCCAGAAACCCTACCTCCAAATACCATCCACATATGAATTTGGAGATCATGTTTCAATGTGAATTTTGGAAGCATTAGTCAAACCATTGCAGTGAGCATCTCTGTTTATGTTTCACCTGCCTCTAACCCCACTGTCCCTGCCTCATGCGTTTATCATTCTGTGTTACTTACTGGGCTCTAAGCTGCAAGAGAGCCAACCTCCTTAGAGCAAATCATGGTTCTTCCATTCACTATCTGTGTTATATTGCTTAACCTCTCTGTGCTTCAGTTCACATGACTGTAAAATGTGATTATAGTAACTACATCAGAGACATATTGGGAAGATGAAATGAGTTGATCCATATAAGTTACTTTAGTCAGTGACCGGCACTTGGAAATTCTCAATGTTGGCGTCATTATTGCAGCTGACATCGTGACAATTATCTTTTATATGCTCAGGACCTGCAGGTGTAGTCCACTGGCACATAGTAGGTTCCCTATATATGTTTGATATCTCATCTGTGTAACCTTGAACTTAATATTTGTTTGATACACAATGTCCTGATTTCTAAATTGATATTTTGTACTCTGGTCTTCTACATTAATATTAACATCATTGTTTTAAGCCCCCCATTGAGCCCAGAAACACCATTGACCTCTGCAGATCTCCACCCTCAGAATAGTGCCAGCCCCTGTTCCTCTTTTCTACCTTTCACATACACACACTTGTTCAAAGGGAATGACAATGTGTCCCATAGGTAAAGGCAATATGAAACATGAAACCACAAGCAGGTTGAATAGCCACTCCTGACATGGGAAGAATAGCACCAATTTTGTTTGAAAATCCCTTAAGACAAAGATGGAGGGGAAGAAGTTCATACTCAGCTAAACAATTTAATTATTTAGATTTCTGTTGTTGTTGTTTGATTTCATAAGCATATTGGTTCTGCCAGAAATGCCCAGCATATGACTTGAAGAAGAGTGTGAGCACAGCAAATTTGGCTAACACATGTTTGCTGGTCATCACCAAGGCCTGCCCCCAATAGCCATGGTAGGAACACAAAGAAAATTATTTCAGAAAGAGAGAATTTCAATTTGACTCATGGAACCTGGCCTGAGAAAAGATGAAGGATAAGTTTTGGATAAGGGCAGTTTCAACTGACAAATCATAATACACACGGAGCCCCACTCAATAACAGTATCCTGTTCCACTGTCTACATTAATCTTCCACTTGGAACACCTTGTGAAATGGGTATTTCTCCACCACACTTCCCTCTCTTCCCCAGGGATAAGATCTTTGTCTAGTACGGGTCACGTGGAAGTGGTGTAATAGGGTCTAGAGGGCCCCTTCCAATGCTTCATTTGACAGATTCTAGCTCAGTGGCCCAGTTGAAATGTCAACCCAGCTGAAATATAGAGACTCTTTTTCAATGGAGTCCCAAACACAGTGAGAGTTCCCCAACAGCAAAGCAATGATATCAGAGACCAGCTGCCAAAACCCTCCTAATTATGGAATACTCTTAGAAAGCGGGTGTGTTTAGAACCCCAAAATCAGTGGAAAGTGACCTCCATAAATGACTCTGTATGAATAAATTGAAACTAAATTATATGTAAAAAGCACCATTTAGAAGAAGCATCTTGTAGGCACTAATTTACTAACAGTCCTCAGTGGTCACATCCAAAGAGATAATGGCTTAGCTTAGCTAGATTCATAAAAGCAAGTATTCTTTTATAAGACTAGGAAAGGCTTCTATTAAACACAGGAAAGATCTATTGTTACACTCATTTAAAAAAAATCTTCAGGATCAGGGAATAATCAAGATAGGGAGGAAATGTCTAAGTTCTTAAGTTTACCCAAGCAAAGCCACTGGAAGGTGATTGAACTTCTGATTTAGCCATGGGAGAAAGAGTTCACCGATTGTTACTAGTTTGAACTCTGTCCAAGGAGGCTTGTCCTTCTGAAGAAATCATAAAAAAAAAAAAAACTCAGAATAAGCCCCCAGGTCAGGATGTACCTGTTACAAAGTCCAATTTTATCCAACATTTTTGTTTTATCCTCAAAATAGCCCGGTGAGGTAGCCCAGTAGAAGTTATTTATTTCTTTTGTGTGTGAAGAAAATAAAGCACAGATAGGTTTAAATGACTAGTTTGGGATCTCATAGCTCAAGAGCAGAAGCTATTGGAAATTCAATTTAATTTATAGTATCTGTGTAGGTCAAAAGTGTATGTGCATGTGTACGTGTGGGGGGTGTGTGTAGAATGGGGTATTCTGACAATTGTCAGGAAACATTCATTAGCCCATAAACACACAGTAATGCCTCATGTAAAAATCCCTATGATAAAAATCATCTGTAGCAAACACGTTGAGAAAGGAACATCAACATAGGAATTTTGGTATTTGAAAGGAAGTTGTCCTCTGGGCTCCCTAGAAGGAACAGTGAAGTGGAAACAGGGAAAAAGAGATGATAGGAGTTCTAAACAATCCAAAGCTCTATAGGGGACACTTCAAGGAGAATGAGTACTTGTGAAAGAGTCAGAAAGGACTGAAGAGCATATATCCCCACTGCTGTGCCTAGTCAGGAGCTTCACTTGATGTAAATGGCCACACACATATGCACATACACATGCACACATGTATGAATATGCATGTATGTTTTATCCATTGTGGAATTCTAGATAGCAAAAACAACTATAAAAATAATTATTCACAATCCTGCCAAGAAAAAAATCCATCTTGGCTTATTAACACTTCAAAATATTTCTTTTATTCTTTCATTCAATTTATACACTTTACAATTGAGGTGTTCTGGTGCATGCAATTATTGTCCTTCTAATTTTCAGTCAATGTTATATCCTAAATACTTCCCATTCCAGTCATTGATGCTTGTTAAGCATACTTTTCTTGATTATTACATAATATTCCATAATATGCAGAGCCTAGCAGTTCTCAAACTGGGGTTTAAAGACCTTTTAGGGTTCCTGAAATGCACCTATGGTGTAGTTGAGGTTCTCCTTTTCTCCAACACATCCATACAAGGGAAAATTTTCTTCATATATTCCAGCCAAAATAACGGATTGCAACAGAAAGAATGCCAAAGCATATATGAAAATCCAGATGTCCTATTAAGCCAGATGGGAACAGTACACAAGAATGTAAGTTAATGCCACTCATTCTTTTGTGCTTTAGAAACCAACTTTTTCATAAAAATAGACTATGTTAATTTGTAATAGTATTATTATGATTATTTTAAATGGGTTAATAAATATTTTAAAGATTCACTATTTCAGTTTCTAGTATGGGAAATATAGATAGAGTCATGTCAACCAGAGCTACCTGGGATTCTTAATAATTTTAAAGAATGTAAAAGTTTGAGAGGTGCTAATATAGAACCTCATGAGAAGGGATGGTATTTTAAGAGACTAACAGAATTTACTCAAATTGGCTCTGAAATGTGATAGCTATCTGATTACAGGCAAATTACTCAACATTTATAAGCTTATCTTTATTTTATTTATTCATTTATTTTGCAGTGCTAGGGAAGGAACTGAGGGTCTTGAGCATTCTAGGCAAATCCTCTACCCCAGTCACACATGTAATCTTTATTTTTTCTTATATTTAGAATAAGAATCATGGTACCTATCTCAAATTTGTGTGGTAGGAATGAACTGAGATTATACACAGTACGGAGAGTACACACACTAGATGAATGTTGCTGATGGTTTTGTGATTGTGATAAATGAACTGTCATTTATACAATCACTTCTTGCTCATAAATCCATGTTCCCATTATTATTAATCTTTTTAATACAAATCTTTTAATCTGAATTCTTAGCATGAAGATTTATGTTTGGGCTTTTTTAAAACAAACTTGCTGAAAACCAGCAACCAAACTAATGCTCATGTGACCTTATTTTAGAGCCTGTAAAGACTTGTCATGTTCAGTAAAGACATCTGAACTCTGCCTTCTAGAATCTTTACTTAACAAAAACAGGCTGGCTTGAGGAGGCAAGCATTTCTAATATCAACTTCAATGATTCATGTGTCCTGTCCTCCTGACTTTTGTTCTGGAAGCCAAGACCTCAAACCCCAATTTTTGTCAAATTAGAGAAGCCCCTTTGCCATCTTATGCTTGATGCTGGCCCCAGTCCCTGCCAATAAGGACAGGTGGTCTAGTCCTTCTTAGATCCAGATCCTGGGGAAAGACATCTTTCTCTCAGGATGTCTCCTCTGATAACCATGGAAACATTTTTAGCCATGGGGACCTAGGGTAGGGTGCCTGTCCCTTTATAACTCAATAAGTTTTACAGCCACCAACTAGGGCTATGCCTGGGCCATAAACTAATTTGGAGGACTTTTCCATGGGATAAGAGAGGGGGGAATATTTGCTTAAGACTCTTCTTAAGCAAATATTTCCCTCCTCTGTTCACATGCTTCTTTGTGGCCCTCATTCATCTTTCTGAGTGCCCAGACCTGGCATCAACACTGTCTTCTTATTGCACCAAACAATGGGAAAGTCTTGCTTTGGGGATCTGCCAGAAGCACCCCAGCATGCAAAAGGCCTGTGATTATTCATATAGGGATCAATGGGGAATTTGGGGATAAGAAAAATAAGCAAAGCCCTTTAGTAATAATAACAAAAATGAAACCAATAACATTGAATACTCCTCTATATAGGCCCTGTCTGGTACATATTACATGTACTCTGTGCACTTCACAATGACCCTATGAGACAGTCACAATATTGTCATTTTCATATGGAGAAACTGAGGCAGAGAAGGAGATGAAATTCTTACACCAATAAGTGGCAGCAAGATTTCAATTCAGACATTCAGAGGTCAATGCTTTTGATCCTGGAGCTTCCTACCTTCTTAATTATATTGTCAGACACTGAGCTAACAGTTTAAATTAAATTATTTAGTTTAATACTCACAACAAGCCAGTGAGTGATTGTGTGTTAATAGTGTATTTTATTTTGCAGATAACTTCCAAAGCACAGAGAGATGGGGTAACTCAAAGTTGCATGACTGGGTGTGGTAGGATCAGAATTTAACCTCAGGTTTGTGTATTTAGAGTTCAAGTTCTTTTTTTAAAAAGAGCTTTATTGAAGCATGATTGATTTGATATACAATAAACTGCACATAGGAGTGATAGAGCTTGAATTTCAGCTTTATGAGCTGGAACAAGGAGTCCTCTGAAAATTTGCTGAAGCCATGGAGTCTCTCCAGTAGAGTGCACATATATAGTAATTTTGTATATACTGACAAAAGAATGTACTTTAAGCTTATCTGTGCCCCCCCACAAAGTTCCAGAATTTGAGACTAAGAAAGCCTAATAACAATATCAACAGTTTGTTGTGGTTCACAAGCAACCAGAACACTTATTCTCCACAAATGGGAAGGTAACATAGTATAACCACTTTGGGAAACTGTTTGGCACTATCTACTAAAGCTGTGTATACACATAACTTTGACTCATAACACCATGTAGCAATGACAATGAACCATCCAGCTACCCCTAAAAACATGGGTGTGAATTCCAGTTATAGGTTCACAACCTAGACTCAAAAACTAAATACTGCAGAATTTTATTTCATATAAAGTTTGAAAACAGGCAAGATCATCTATGGTGACGGAAGTTGATATAGCAGTTATCCTTGAGGACAGGGTAATGTCTGTAAGGGAACATGAGGAGGTCTCTGGGAACTGGTAATGTTCTGTTTCTTGGCCTGAGTACTGGCTTCATGGTTGTGTTCACTTTATGAACATTTATGAAGCTGCTGCTCATTTACGTTTTATCCCTTTTTCTGTATGTATATTATATATCAATAAAAATTTACCTACTAGGGCTAGCAATGTAACCTAGTGTTTGAAGTGCTTGCCTAGCATGTATATGAGTCCTGGATTTAATCCCCAGTACAACCAAAGAAAATTACCTACTCAGAATTGAATTGTACATTCTAAGTGGATAAGTTGATTATATCTCAATTAAGCTGTTAAAAAAAAGAATGGTTGATGTAACTTCTGAATCGTGGGTGAGGTTATTCGCAGCCAGCAAAAGAGAAGAGTCATGCACTGTCTTAAGAAATATAGATTTATTGATTACCCAAGTGGAAAGGAATTTCAACTTTCGTTTTGACCCAGCCAACACCAATAGACTGATACGGAGCCAAGATTCCTGCAATCTGATGCACTGAGATGGCACCCAGATCACTAGACAGGTCCCTTCTTGGAAAGGATGTTCAATGTCCACACATTACATAACTGACTCCCTCAGACAGAAAGGAGAGGAAGGGTTTTTAAAAATCACATATTCCTGTTTGGATTCCAGTTACACTGAATTTGAAGTGGCCACCATTATCTGTGACACAGATATTGTAGATTTCCTGTGTCCTGATGGTGGTGGAAAGGCCACCCTGAGGAAAGAGATTCACAATTTTCAGAGTCCAGAATGGGCTGATGTTGTGTTTGATGCCTCTTAGCATTAGATGCTCATTTCTTAAGTAGATGAGCTTCCATGCCATCCTCAGTGGCTGTTAACAAGAGTCTGAGTTCTTTAAGAGTAGTATTTCTCCTGGAAGAATCCAGACTCAATCTGTATTTTAACTATGGACTGAAATGATTCTTTGGGGAGTTGGATGAATTTCATTAACTGATTGTACTCCTTTTTACTTCTCCATTACTTTTATTGCCAATGATAATCCATTCATCAGTAAAGCACAGATTGTCTAAAATTAGTTGCTTAAACATCACCTGTGACTTCTCTTTCTCCACTTTCATGCATAGTCAGTTGTACATTTAAAATATATCTAGAATCCAACCACTTCTCACTTCCTTGACTGAAAGCTCCCTGGTTAAAGCCACTATCAGCTCTGATCTTTATTACTTCACTAATTTCTTAAATTCTCTCCTCCACCTTTAGCTCCAAGAATGTCTCCTCCAAAACTCACATTCAAATTTAACTGCCACCATAATGGTATTATGAGGGGAGACCTTTAAGATATGATTATGTCATGGGAATGGAAATTATCATAGAAGTGGGTTAGTAATCAGGGGAGTGGGTTCCTGATAAATGGGATATGTTCAGCCTGATTTTTCTCTGTCTTATGCCTGTTGGCTTGCCCTTCCACCATGTTACAATGCAGCACAGAGGCCCTCATGAAATGCCAGTGTCAGGCTCTCAGATTTCCCAGACTCCAGAACCATGAGCCAAAGAAATTTCTATTCTTTACAAATTATTTAGCCTGTGGTACTCCATTATAGCAGAAGAAAGTTGATTAACCCAGTAAGATATAATTCAGAGCATGTCACTCTTTAACCAATTTCCTCTAATGGCTTTTTATCACATCTATAGGAAATCCAAAGTGCTTGCCATTTTCAACAAGGCTGACATACTTCTCTTTCCTCATCTACCACCTTCTTACTTTCTTCACTTGTCTCCTTGTTATTCCTTAGATTTAAAAAAGAGTTTATACCTGCCTCAGGGCCTTTGTACTTCTCATCCCCTCTTCCAGGAACACTTTTTTATTTTGGTGCTGGTCATTAAACCTGGGATGTTCTGAGCTATATTCTCATTCATTTTCATTTTTTATTTTGAGACAAGGTCTCATCAAATCACTGAAGCTGGCCTCAAATCTTTGATCCTTCTGCCTCAAGTCTTCTGAGTCACTGGGATTATAGACATGTCCGTGCTCAGTTCAGGAACACTTTTTTGCCAAATATTCACATGGGCTACTCCTTCATGTCATTCAAATAACTACTCAAATTTTACTTCCACAGAAGTAGTACTTTACTTTCTCATTTGAACACTCCTCAATTTATTTCCTCAAATGCCACTTTTCAAATGTTTTTGTGTTGACCTTTATAATTGTTCATGGCAACTGAGACTATATATTATATTCATTCCTGTATGTGTTTCATGTACTTCCCAAAAACATAGACATTTTCATCTCCCTTTAAAAATAAGGCACTTAGTCCTTTGGCTGCTGGGTGTGCTGTTGGCAGGAAGCCCCTGAAACTCAGTCTCCAGAGATTTCCACAGTCACTTTGCTCAAGTTCATAATGCTTTCTCTGGAAAGCTCACTTCCAAAGACTTAGTGACAGGAAAATATCAAGGCCTTGCCCTCTTGGCCTGCTCAGGAAAGCCCTAAAGGGTCATCCTATCTTCAGTGCAGAGTTAGCTGAGGCTTCCACTGAAACTACTTCAATCTGACTTCTCCCTCTGCTATAGCTGTGGATCCTCAGAGCTAAGAAGCCTCTGCATGCACTTCTCCATCTCCTGTGATGGCCACTCATTAGACTAAGCATAGCAGACTACAGCAGTATCTCAATCCCATGGCTCTGGAATGGCCAAGACCTCATGAGAAACTTCTGGAAATAGGTCCAATGGAACCTCATTTGAAAATAGGGATGTTTTCTTTTGGGGGTTTGGTGGGGACAACCCAATCTTCTCCATGATCCTCAACAGGGAATGGGAAATACAACAATGACTGCTCAATACAGACTCAAGTGAACAAATTGAAGACAATATTTTTTGCCATGTTTAGAGTCTTGAAAAGGGGAAGTTGAGATGAGAAAGTTTGTAATCAAATCCAAGGCCCACAGGAAAAGCTTACTTTTATATCATAGATCACAATTTTAAAATCCCACTAATGTTCATATAATAAAGGTTTGTGCAATGAAGAAGAGTGAATTTGTGATCTTAAAAAATATCTAAGGGCCTAAGAAGCAACAATTACTGTATATTTTGAGTTATTTAGGAAAGAATCTTGGAGGTAAAATCCACATAATCTCCAAATTTCAATGAAATTTAAAATATTTAAATGTTTAAATATTTTCTTCCACACATTTTTATCATATTCTGCTAACTATATTTGCTTAATTATAGTTCTTAAATTAGAGAAAAGATAATTTTAGTCTCACTATAAGATTTCATAAAATCTTCCATAAATAATTTACACCAAAGTTGGTTTTCCCAGATCTCATTTTCTAGTTTAATTAAAAAATATAATGTGGCTATTCATAGATAAAATATTAACATAATGCTTATTTAAATAGCCATTAAGAATTTAATGGTCAGCATTATCCAAAGTACATGTATGAAGATATGAGTTGATGTGAACATACTTTAAATACAAACAGAGATGAAAAATTGTGCTATGTGTAATAAGAATTGTAATGCATTCTTCTGTCATGTATTTAAAATATAAAATCAATTAAAAAAAGAATTGTACATTTTTGGGTTTGTACAGATATGTTCTGGTTTGGAAATTTTCAATTCAAACTTTAAATGATTCTTTTTTTCCCCCAATACCAAGGATGGAACCCAGGGCCTTGAATATGCTAAGCAAACACTCTACCATTGAGCTACATTACCAGCCTTTTTTTAAAAAAAATTATTTTGAGGCAGAGTCTCAATAATTTGCTGAGGCTGGCCTTGAACTTGTGGCCCTCCTGCCTCAGACTCCCAAGTTGCTGGGATTATAGATAGGCATGTGCCATCGTGACCAGCTTAAAGTGATTTTTTATCATGATTATATTTTAAGCCACTAAAGAAAGAGAATCAAACACAATAGCATTGGGACAAAAAGGACACTCAGTGTCATAATCATTGTAAACCCTTATTTTATCCAAACACCTGAATCCACTTGCGAAAGATCCATTTTGGGCTTGAAGGCATAACTTGGTGGTAGAGCAAGACCCTGGGTTCTATCCCAACACTGCAAAAAACAAAAAATCATTTTTGCCTACATATACATGCTATTAGAGATCAGAGAACAGCTGTGACAACCAAAATCTCAGCAGGTAACCATGAACTCAGGCATGCAACAAGCTGTCTGGGTCTCTGTAAATGATGTGGATGCAGATAGAGCCAACGTTGTGGAGATATTGAGGACAAACAATGAGATAATGTATCTATGTCCCTTACCATAGTGCTGAGCACATAGTAAGTGTGTAAATATTGACTAATATCATCATTAGTGTCCCTATATTTTTCTTTCCACAAAAGGTATTGCCAACTTTCATTTGGAATATGGGAGCCTTGGATCAAGAAACAAACTCATTTTAATTCTGTGACTTTTAGGTAAGTTATATCTCTGATGTTTTCTGGGCAGCTCACTTCCATTTTCCAGATGATTTTGCAAAATGTAGATAGCAACACCTACCTTCCGGGTTGTGGCAGGGATTAAATGAGTTGATATATGCAGAATTCTTAAAAAGATATAAATTATTATTGGTATCATGACTTTAATTATCAATTCCCTTTCCACAAACATCTTGAGCCTCCCATAACCCTCTAGGGCAATTTTGTTGTATGAACCCACAGACTTGGTAGTAGAAATCTCAAAGCTTCCCATCCTTATAGTATTGCTGGACATGCTGGGATTTACCAGGAGAAAAAAATAAATCCTGAAGTGCTCAACTTAGTATCCCCTTGTCTGCAAAAGAGCTCATTTGGTGATATTACGTAGCAAGCCCTCTCTGAACCTCCAAGCCTGGACCCTGAACTCCAGCCTCAAACAGCAGATCAGCTAATCCAAAACAACTGTAGCCTCTTTGGGGTCACAGGTGCCGGATGACAGGTGTGTCCCTTGTCTTTCAAAGATATTATCTGAATGCTTTTGATGTCCCTGAAATATACAGAGTAATAAGAAGATGAAAAAGCTCTTTGTAACCTGGGTCCAAGTCTAGCACAATAAAAAAGGAGGTAGGGAGAGTAAGAAATAGAAAAAAACTGACATTTAAAACAAATGGTTTTTTTTTCTTAAAAAACAGGTTTTTCCTTAGATTTTGATTATCTTTGGGTTACCAGACTATCATTTTAAAATCTAAGGACATGTGATGATCTAAGTCTGGAAAAAATATGTCTAAAAAGTAAGTTATCAAAAAAATTTTTTCCTTGGTTTTAGTAAAGTGAGGGAAAAGGAGTGACATTCTAAAGGAGGAAAGATCAGTGGAGTAGAAGAAGGTGACTGGAGGGAGGAATGAATGATGGGGAAGGGAGGAAATGAGGAATGAATCTGACAAAAATTATACTATGTGCATGTATAAATATACCGCAGGGAATTCCATCTTTGTGTGTGTCTATAAAACATCAATCAATAATAAATAAGTAGAAGTAGGATCAGTAGAGTATAGGAAGAATACAGGAAGAGGGGAAGAAAAGAGAAACACAGGGGTCTGAAATGGAGCAAGTTAAATTCTATGTATATATTCTGATATCAAAATGAATGCAACTAGTATGTACAACTATAATGCACTAATGAAAGCATTACAAATTCCTTCCTAAAGGATTTCTCTACTATGTAAGATAAAATAATCATGATGAAAGTATTTGATATTTAAAAAGTCATTTCATATATTGTCATACTTAATTTTCATGGTAACACCAGGAGGGAGAAACTAATAGTCCCACTTTACAGACTATAAATTGAAGCTCCTAAAATATATTAAATTACATGCCCAGAGTCCATGGTGAATTTACTGGTACTCCAGAAATTTAAGAGGTCTGTGACTCCACAATAACATGCCTTCTTCTCAAGAAAGATTATATGAGATGGAAATTCATGACCTTGAATTTATCCAAGAACAAAATATATTCTTTTCTCTGCTGAATCACTCATTCAGTGCCAAGCTTGGCCTCTGATTAATGTTTATAGGTACAAGCTTTATACTCCATAAGCTATTGGAAAGAAATGCTGACTGTCTTTGGCAGTACAAACCAAAATGATGACTCACTTAGACGTGTCAGAAGACTCCTTCCAAAGAAGTTCAATGCTGTGAAATGAAAACTCCACTTAAAATCAATCAAAAGAGATTTCATGTACAAATGCAAATGTTTTCTTGGTCCCAAAAGGAGCTTTGTTGCTGTGAACATTAATCTCTAGTGTTGAAATTGTGTTGACTTAAGGAAGATTCACTTGTTGAGGTAGGAAGAAGGGCGTTGAACAGTTGCTGATGAAAAGAACATCCTGGTAACTAGTAGAGAAATGACATGACAGGGGAAACCCAGAGTGTGGTTTGGATAAAGCAAGAGACAAATTTGGCAAAGAAACAACTTGTGAAGTTTACATGGAAGACACTTTAAGAGAATTCAAACTGTAACAACTGGACTGTGAAGAAAGGGCTATTTCAAAGGCATCTGCTTATGTGAAAAAAAAAAAATGTTCAAGAGGAGGTTCCAAGAATCTCACCTAAGGGATATTTTTGGTCAGCACCCATATCATCTTTTTTTTTTAATCACCACTATCACCACTTCAAAATAAGCATCATTCATGAGCAAGAAGAAAGTGTTATGAGAAGTAAGGATTGTAATAAGTAGGTATAGTAGTCAGCTTTCTGTCACTAAAACAAAATACCTGAGATTATCAACTTGAATAGACAAAAGGCTCACAGTTGTGTAGATTTCAGTCCAGGAGCAAATGGCACCATATCCTTGGACTTGTGGCAAGGCAGTAAATCATGGAAGACATGCAGAACCCTTACCTCTATCCAGTGGGAGAAGGAAGATGAGAAGAAGAGGAAGGGACTGGTGCCCTACTATCTGCTGTCACTGCACATCCACAATGACCAAAAGGCCTCCCACAAGGCTCTACCTCTTAAAGGTTTCACAACCTCCCAATAATTCTAAGGTAGGAATCTAAAGCTTTAACACATGGGCCTTAGGAAACACTAAAGATCTAAGCTATAGCAGCAAGCATCGTAATCACCACCATTATCAGCACCATCATCATTGCCACCTCCATCATTATCATTATCATCATGACTAACACTTTGTAAGTATTTGCTGAATGCTTTCAAGTATTTTATACATTTCATTCATTTCTCTCAATGACACTATGAGAAAGCTGTTATTATTAGTTTTAAAATTACAAAACAGAGGCAGAGAGAGGTAAAGAAACTTGCCTCAAATCACATAGCCAATAGATTGTGATTCTGAAATTCAAATTCATGCCCTCTAGGCTCTAAATCTATGATATATCAATCTGAATATTATTACAGATGTGCTTATTATTATGTCTTTTTTAAATATTTAGTTTTTAGTTGTAGACAGACACAATACCTTTATTTATTTATTTTAATGTAGTGATGAAGATTGAACCCAGGGCCTCACAAATGCTAGGCTCTACCACTGAACCACAACTCCAGTCCCTTATTATGTCTTTTGACTTGCCTAAGAAAATACAAGGCTAACCACCATATGACCCAGCTATACCACTCCTCAGTGTGTATCCTAAAGTTAAAATCATCATACTATAGTGGTACATGCTTATCCATGTTTATAGCAGCACATTCCACAATAGCCAAACTATGGAGCTAGTGTGTAAGTATACAGCAACAAGTGAATGGATATAGAAAATGTGATATATATACACACACACACACACACACACACACACACACACACAATGGAGTTCTTTGCAGCCATAAAAATAATGAAATTATGTCATTTGTAGGAAAATGGATGGAACTAGGGACCATTATGTTAGGTGAAATTAAGCCAAACTCAGAAGGTCAAGGTCATATGTTGTCTCTCATATGTGGAAGATAGAGAGGAAAAAGGCAAAGAAAGGTGGTGCAGTGGGGATGTCATGAAAATCAAAGGGCAATCAGTAGAGGAAAGGGACCAGGAGGTGAGAGGTGGGGAGGGAGCAGGGAAGTGCTAGGGAGTGATATTGTTCAAATTATATTGTTAAACTGTGTATGAATATGTAACAACAAATACCACCATTAGGTACAACTATAACTTACCAATAAAAATGGGGGAAAAATACAAGGCTATGAGTAGCTCTGATATGATAATGCCTACATATCTTGGAATTTCTGGAAGATATTAGCAAAAGATCACTGAGATAGAGTGTTTCTTTCATAGCTAATATAAACATCGTTAAGATGTGTAAAAATTCATGGCTTCTGTTAAATTTATAAGCATTTGACTTTTCTTCCCTCTTGATGTTATTTTTAAATATTCCACCTTTTCCATCTTCAAGCCTATGTATTTGTGCTCAGAAAGTCTGTCACTGTGAAAATATTTTCTCTTTCTTTGATCTGTATTATCTGGACCCACTCAAAGTTAATCTTTTAATTTAGAAGGCCCCTAAAATACCCCTAATACCATTCACCATTTCATCACTCTCCCTCCCCTTCACTCTCCCACTTCTCAGAACTGAGGTTTGAACTCAAGAGTTCTCTACCTCTGAACTGCATCCCCAGACCTTTTTGATTTTGCTTTGAGACAGGGCCTCACTAAGTTGTCCAAGTTGACCTTGAAATTGTGATCTTCCTGCCTCAGCCTCTTGAATAGCTGGGATTACAGATGTGCACCACATACCCACTCCCCACCAATACCATTCATTTAAAAAAATATTTATATTTTTAGTTTTAGGTGTATACAATATCTTTATTTTATTTTTACATGATGCTGAGGATCAAACTCAGTGCCTCACACCTGCTAGATGAGCACTCCACCACTTGAGCCACAACCCCAGCCCCACCAATACCATTGTTATGCATAGTTTCAATTTAATTTTTTATTGGGGATATGGTCATATATAATGGCTTTAAATCTCAAGGAAGGCCACAGGGTGCTAGGTAACTTACACTGAACTAAATGGGTTTGAGTGATGACAATGATAATGAGAAATGCAGAGTGTCTTAAGTTTCAACTTGTCCTCTTCAAAATTATTGAAGGAATACTGACAACACTCTCATCTCTCAGACATACAAATATCAGTTTGGATATCCTCAGAGCTGGAGAACAGAGTGGGATCCTTCAAATCTTTCTATCACCAGTGAATGAGATGTGAAGTAATAGAAATAATTGTGATGGTATCATGATTTTATAACATGTGCTGAATTTCACTTCTATGAGAACCTCTGGAGTTGAATGATCCTTATTCTCAAAAATCATGATAATATAAGGCATTATTATTTCAGTGGGTTCTTGGTTAGATACCTAAATGCTGAAAGAGTATTGACCCTTCACAGGAAAGAAGGTATATTATTTTGTATCTGCCCCAAAGAAAGAAGAGAGTACTGACCTGGGTGAATTACCATGTATGGGGAAGAATATACATAGACATTT